GGCATGGGTGCTGTTTAATATAGAATTGTATTAAATTTAACATCATAGAAACTCTATTTCTACATGTATATAGTAAACGAAGTAGTTTTAATGGTATCTAGTTTATTTGTCACTTTATTTTTCATCATTATTCCAGTCGGTGCTTGAACAGACTGCTTCAATGGTTAATTGTTTTCCAATTTTTTCTATTTTTCTGGCTTCTGACTTTTTCCTTTGGTTGATTCAAGCTTGAACTAGAACAGTTTCAATTACACTCTTGCATGCATTCATCATTTAATTAGAACATTGTTTTCAATAAGCAAGTGTAAGCCAGCTTTATGAATTTTTGGTTTCAGTAGGACATATAGGTTTTTGAAGTTTCAAGATGAAACTTCGATTCGGAGTTTGTTTGCAAGGAATGAAAAAGCATGGTAAATGGAGAAAAGGTCGATCAATGAGCTGTAGTGGGCTTTTCGTAGGCGTTCATGATTGTGATAAACATTAGTATCGTTCCTATAGCAACATTTCGAAGTAGACTTTAATTCAATTAAACAAAGGTTTCGTTCTCTTTAATATTGCATGTGTTGGTGGATAACAAGGTCCTCGACATACTAAAGAAGGTAACAATTACGGTAGTTCACAGTACAAGTGCTTATACTTGGGTATGCGTGGCTTAATCTTTGATACAATCAAGCTTAATTTTGATATTGGGGATCAACCAGTTATAACTATATACATAACTATATACGCTTCGCACACCAAGCCTTTTTCTAAGATTTAGGCACTCTTCCCAGAACTAATGTTTGTATTTTCTCACCCCTATAGGACTGCATTTCGTGCGTTTTCTGAAACAGAGGTTTTTGGATATACTGTGTTACATTATACTGTAGTTTGACTGACTATTCAGTTAAGTACTTGCATGTTATGTTTATGTAAATACCACAACTCGGTCACTAAATTGTTTAGACTAGCCATCCAACAACTCAAATCTTTCGGGTCTGGAATATGCTATCCACTGGGAAATTTTTCAGTAAAATCTAAGATATTTACACCACAGTGTTTAACATTTCTGCCGAATCATTTGAAGATAAAATACATGACATAAGATTCACAAAGCAAGGTTCAGTTACTAACAATATCAAACCTCAATTCTAAATTCCAATTTTCTTCTCATGGCTTAACGACAAAGTTATTGAATGAATGAATAACAATATTTAATGAGGGTGAACACCAATCTAACACTAAAAGGTTAATGAGGGTGGCCATTATTGATCAAGTGTTATCGATGAATGGGTATAACATTTTCCGGAAAGATAGGTTACATGGGTTTATGTTACACCTGTAGATATCAGGCATGAAGAGCGGACCATCAACATCGCCAGAAATCACGGACTTGATTATTCTACTTCCTTATCAATTTGCATATCATTAATACATAACCCGTTGAAATATGGCTTCGGTAGTGAACAGTAAATTATATCACGCGATGCTTTAAATCGAAAAATCAGAAATATTGGTAGGTCGTTTAGAATTTGCCTCGATTGCTGGTTGCAGGACACGGTCTGTATCGTTGAAATATTTCGTGTAGTGTTTGCCTGGTGTAAGTTACTGCCTACTCTGCATTTTCGTTTGTTTCTAGTGGCAATAGTGCGTTATTCTTATATAGAGTTAAATAGACAAATTCCGTACGAACTAACCTCTGTACAAATACTAAAAATGCAGAATAGTCACTAACTAAAATCAACTGAGTCAACATTACGTTAAATACTTCAACAGACGTTGATTTCAGTATAGCCAACGACTGAGGCAAGTTGCAATATTCTCTGATTTTGGGATTTACAGCATCGCGTATAATATAATTTACTGTTTACTGCAGAAGCCATATTTCAACGTGATAGGCAAATTACGAAGGAAGTAGAATAAATCATGTCCGTGATTTCTGGCCATGACAATGTCGTCAACATTGTTAAGGACCGTGTGCAGATAACAGGTTAAGACCTTGCCCATTTTCTGAACGACTACTTTTCTAGTGTCAACGCTGATCTCCCTTGCCTTGATCTTCAAACATTGCCAGCGTTCCTTCTATCACCCCATCCTCGTAGTGGAGATTTGCGCTAAAAATGCTGGTCAGGAGGTCAGCATTATCAAAACACATGATCAGCGATGGTATCTCTATTCGCGTTATTAAAGACTTTGACAAACTAGCTGATCCTGTTTGTACCATCTTCGACATTTCTGTATCCATCCTCTGGTGAGGTTCTTTTAATCTGAAAGGATGCTATTATTACGGCAATTCCCAAGGAACAACCCTTGTCCGTGAAGTTCGTCCCATCTCTCTTACGGCTTGCATCTCCAACGTTTTGGAAGACTTTGTAGACAAGTGGATGATGGTCATACCACGGTCTTTACGTCCGGAATTCGTAGAAAAGATTCATGCAAGTCACTTAGGAACACAAGCTTGCCTCAGACGAGCTAGAGAAGTATGGTATTGGCCGAACATGTGTAAGGAAATTTTACAGTTCATTTCGAAGTGTTCCGTATGGCGTATGCAAGTCATACTCACAGGCGCAGCAAAAAGAAGCTATGCGATTGCGAATCCGGTTCCCTCAAGACCCTGGGAAGATGACGAGCCAGACAGTTCCAGATTGGCAGCTCCAGATTGGCGAATTTGGAGCCATCTCCAGATACAATTTCAATCTGGAGCTAGAACGACTAGTTTGTAAACAAACTGCTTGGGTCGCTTAACTACCGATGGATATTCAATTTTTTTGAAAGACCATTTTTACTTGTCATATTCCTTAGTACATGATGGAAAATGAAGACATTATTCCGTTCCGTTCGTCCATGGTAGCTTCTGAAAGATCACTGTTTTTTCTGACAAAAGGGCTGGTCAGCGGTGGGATAGATCGCGAAGCTCGTTTAAAACCTTATTTTGTTACCTTTATAATGAAAAACTTAAAAATTTGATCGATGATCATTCTGGAGAATGTGTTCAAAAGTAATTCCATGCGGTCAACTTATTTCCACGTCGCGAAACCGCGATAAATAACTCGCTCAAATTTGAACTGTCTAATTTCGCGCACGGCCCGGCTGTGTTAATTTTATCCTTCCCTGAATACAGCAACTTTGGTATCCGTAAATTTACGCTTTCGAAAGTAAGAAATTGATATGTGGATGACATAATATCATTTGTTGCGCTTTTCTGAAGAACTAACGATATAAACATGTTTAATATCCGAAACACACAACGAAAAGGAGATCGCTAAAAACGGTGTTATTATGCGGCTCAAGTCGTCGAAAGGCCATAACATGTCAAATACGTCTAGCATCGTCTAAATTGCTTCGCAAATTTCTTGCTAATTTCGCCCTGCCACGAATTTCTAAAAGATGACCCTTCTAGAGTAATATTCATACTATCATATTTTACAGCATTTGAAACTTTAGGATGCATATCCACCATGAGCAACTCATGAAAGCACCAGCATTCGTTACCGAGATGAGAAATCAATTTTCAAGAGATGTGAAATATTACACCTAAACAATATTCCGTATTATCTGGCACGTGCAAGACATTTAATAATCTCAGGGGAAAACCGTATTAACTATAATGTCATGCATAAGTTTATATACGCTGTATTCTTTTTTCAACACATAAGCTAAAAACATCGTTTTTGCCCGTATAAGTTAATTAATAGGAGGGGTGTGTTTTAAGCATTCCTTATTAACATAATCAGCGCAAATTCAAACCTACGCATGCTTTAAAAATATTTTATCTTTGTAAAAAAGCGTCGTGTTTTCTCATGTATTAAAAAAATACAGCGCATACCTAAACAAGGAAATTAAAATTGCCTTGTTCCTATAAACCTATTCTTCGGCACTCTTAAATGCCTTGCCATGTCCTCATTGCATTTGCATGCCGACATTATAGTTAATACGGTTTTCCCCTGAGATTATCAAATGTCCGGCACGTGCCAGCTGATGACGTATTTTATTGTTTACGTTTAATATTTCACATCTCTTGAAAGTTAATTTCTCATCTCGGTAACGAATGCTAGTGTTTTCATGAGTTACTCATGGTGGATATGTATCCTAGAACTTCAAACGCTGTAAAATATGATAGTATGAATATTAGTCTAGAAGGGTCATCTTTTAGAAATTCGTGGCAGGGCGAAATTAGCAAGAAATTTGCGAAGCAATTTAGACGATGCTAGACGTATTTGACATGTTATGGCCTTTCGACGACTTGAGCCGCATAATAACACCATTTTTAGCGATCTTGTTTGCGTTGTGTGTTTCGGATATTAAACATGTTTATATCGTTAGTTCTTCAGAAAAGCGCAACAAATGATATTATGTCAATAACATATCAATTTCTTACTCATCTAGAGCGTAAATTTACGGATACCAAAGTTGTTGTATTCACGGAAGGATAAAATTAACACAGCCGGGCCGTGCGCGAAATTAGACAGTTCGACTTTGCGCGAGTTATTTATCGCGGTTTCGCGACGTGGAAATAAGTTGACCGCATGAAATGATTTTTGAATACATTCTCCAGAATGGTCATCGATCAAATTTTTAAGTTTTTCATTATAAAGGTAACAAAATAAGGTTTTAAACGAGCTTTGCGATCTATCCGACCGCTGACCATTCCCTTTGTCAGAAAAAACAGTGATCTTTCAGAAGCTACCATGGACGAACGGAACGGAATAATGTTTTCATTTTCCATCACGTACTAAGGAATATGACAAGAAAAAATGGTCTTTCAAAAAAATTGAATATCCATCGATAGTTAAGCGGCCAAAGCAGTTTGTTTACAAACTAGTCGTTCCAGCTCCAGATTGAAATTGTTTCTGGAGCTGGCTCCAGATTCGCCAATCTGGAGCTGCCAATCTGGAGCTGTCTGACTCGTCATCCTGGGAAGTTATTGAAACAGATTAATTTTGTTTGAGACTTTGAGTTGCGTGGTCGGGATTATCTTGTAACCGTAGACTATATTATTTAAATTTCGTTGAAATTGACAGCCTCTACAACAAGACATCCAGAGAAGTTATTGGCATGCTGAAGGCCCACCTAGCAATACCTGGTATAACGGAGATGGTGAGCGATAATGGGCCCCAATTTTCCTCGGACGAGTTAAAGAAATTTTCAGATGATTACGAGTTCCCCCAGTTAAATGGCAAGGCGGAAAACTCAGTGAAGACAGTAAAACGGGTTATGGAAAAAGCACATGCATAGACCCTTGCATGGCGATTCTAGACTTTAGAAATGCGCACACGGAAAACGTGGAGACATCCCCTGCTCAGCGTTTGTTTGGTCGACAAACCAAGACACTAGCACCGCCTCCAGTAGCCGATTGTTGAAGCGAACAGCAAAATAACACACGGTGAAACGTTTAAGGGCGGAAAAAAGAAGGCAAGCATTCTACTATAACAAAGATGCCAAATCCTTAAAGCCTTTGAAGGCAGAACATGTTGTGTATGTAAAATCAAAGAAGAACACAAAGGAATGGATAAAAGCGAAAGTGGACGTGAAGATGGGAATCAGATCGTCAAGGAAGAACACTTAGGAGGAATCGTCGACATCTGCGTACAGCAAATATTCAGGATGTGAAAGAAACAAGATTTGAAGAGAATTCAGAAATGGATATTGATCCCATGGAACATCTATCGACAGAAGATAAGGAAGAAATTATTCGACAGTCTACTGGTCCTCAGCCTATTTTGCTGTCTCAAAAGGAGTCGTCGACGTTAGGCAGCCACACGAATGTTCGACAACGTGAATCTCAAGGTCTAATGGAATGTGGAGATGGTCCTCGGAAGTATATGTAGTTCCAGAGGACGCCTTCTCAGGAGACTTGCGTATCTGGCCTCTGGAGGACTATGAGACTTGCACATAGGTACCATACTATTTTCTCGTACTACTTATTAAAATTATACTAGAATTATTGGGGCTTGTAGTTCAGTTCTTGTTAGTTAGGTTTACTTATTTTTTAACATAATTTAATTCAAAACGAAAAAAAAAAACAGTTTGAAGAAGGGAGATATGACGGTATTTGCATGTTTGAATATACTGACTATACTCTACTGAAATTAACTTTGTAGTAAACAATATGCTTAATTATCCACGAGCCGACGGCGCGAAGCGCCGTGCGAGGGTACTAATTCCCCCCAGGTATTTACACCCGGGGACACGAAAGCATTAGCAAAGTCTAAAGTTCATCAATAATCGCGGGCACTCACCAACGGTGTTGAATGGGTGGTCATCACTGATCTCAAAATATGGCTGTTTGCCAGGAGTGAAGAAGGCAAAAAATATAAAAAAATACATGTAAGAAAGCTTGGAAAATCGTTTCACATAACAAATTGTACAACTTTTTTGCAATTTTTAAACGTAAACATTGATAAGAATTGGTATTGTATGATAAATCCTAAATTATAGGGCAAGTTTGTTTCAATTGTTTATGTATGACTTTGTATTTAATAATATAGACTTTGTTCTTGATGTTCAAATCTTTCCTATTGTCGTGAATTAAGCAGTCCAGTTAATGTAAATAGTCCAGTTGACATTACGTAATTAGACATGTAGATTGCATCAGCAACGAACACGAACAAATATTGAGATGTCTAACACGAACACGTTTAGATAGCACGAACACATGTAGTTTTCCTCAACCTTTTTAGCTTTAAATATATAACCATAAAACGAAGACAGTTTCTCTTACTCGATCGAACCTCGCTATTCTCTACATTGGTACCGTGACCAGGATGGAGGAACTCACAAGAATACAAGCATCGAGACGAGCTCACAAAGCACATGTGACAAGATTAGTAAAGAAATCCAGCGAAATTTTAACGAACGAAAAGCCCGACGAAATGTTACTAAGCAGTTTAAATACATCTCTCGAACATTTTGGATCTTATACTTACAAACATGCATAAATTTTACGATGTACAACCAGCCATGGTTTTCCCTCCTTTCGGATTATCAGACCATAATGTGATAATGGTTCAGCCCAAAGTTAAAACATCATCAGAAACCCCAAGTAGAAAGACAGTAATAAAAAGAGACATTCGTCAATCACGCAAAAAAGAACTTGGTCGATATCTGAGTAACTTTGACTGGCAACTTATCGATTCCTCCGAACCGTGCGATAAGAATTGTGATATCTTATGCTCCGCAATAAAGACGGGTTATGACATCCTTATGCCTGAGAAACACGTTAAATTCCATCGCAACGACAACCCATGGATAACCGAAAATTGAAACAGCTGATCAAGTTTCGACAACGTGCGTTTTCATCTAATAACACTACTCTTTTCAAATTCTACCGAAATAAAGTGAATAGAATGAGAAAATCTTGCCGGGCAGACTATTTTGCTTCAAAAGTTGCTAATCTAAAAAAGTCTAACCCCAAATCTTGGTGGACAGAGGTTAAACGTATATCCGGTATGAGACCTGTATCTGGCAGTTTGCTTAACCAACTTCATGTCGAAGATACAGAACATTTAACACACAAACGCTTTGCAGATTTAATTAACAAAAGCCTAATAGAACCAATGAATACTTATGATCCCTTAAATGTCACAGATTTGAACACCTTGTTTGAGGAGATTCCTGATTATCCGTTAGATGTAAACATGAATTTGACAAATACTGCATCGGTCTTGAAAAAACTGAAAAGCTTGAACCCGCATAAAGCTCCAGGCCCTGATGATATCCCCAATTGGATTCTTCGTGATTATGCCGAAATCCTTGCTCCCTCTGTATCGGACTTATTGAATTCGTCCTACAAGCAAAAAAGACTGCCCTCATGCTGGAAACAAGCTAACATTACACCTATTCCGAAAGAGAAACCTGTTAAAGACATAAGCAAACAGCTCCGACCTATTTCGTTAACTCCGGTTCTGTCTAAACTTGCAGAAAAGTTTGTTGTTGAAAAATATATCGCTCCAGCAGTGTTGTCGTCAATTGATCCTTTTCAATTTGGTGGCATCCCTCGATCATCTGCTACAAAAGCCTTAATTTCTATGGTTCATGCGTGGACTCAAGCCACAGATGGAACTGGAAACGCTGTAAGAGTGGTTCTTTTTGACTATAAAAAGGCCTTCGACTTGATTGATCATAAGATCTTAGCCACGAAAATCATCCAATTGCCAATGCCAAATTTCATTAAGCGGTGGGTAATTGACTTTCTGATGAACAGGCAACAACGGGTGAAACTTGCAAGAGACTGTATGTCTGAATGGATTGACATTCCTTCCGGTGTCCCTCAAGGAACCAAATTGGGACCTTGGTGATTCATCCTAATGATAAATGACCTACGCCCCCCACATCATGAGCGATGGAAATACATCGATGATGCTACGGTATCTGAAATCATTTATATCAACACACCCAGTAAAATTCAAGATACAGTCGATTGTGTTCAAAATTGGTCTGCAGAAAACAAGATGCAATTAAATGCCTCCAAGTGCAAGGAACTTGTTATCAGTTTTACAAAACCTGAGAAAGAATTTCCGCGCCTTAAGATCATCTCAGGCCAAATCGAGACAGTAAACCACGCAAGAATCCTAGGTTTGACAATTTCTAAAGATCTAAAATGGAACCAACACATAACTAACATAGTTAAGAAGGCGAACAAACGGATTTATTTTATTATTCAGTTGAAACGTGCTCATGTACCTGAAGCTGACATAATACATTTTTACACTACCTGCGTCAGACCAGTCATGGAATTCAGCTGTCAAGTTTTCCACTTCGCCCTTCCTTCCTACTTATCTAATGCCCTGAAACGGGTTCAAAAGCGTGTTTTATCAATCATCTATCCACTGACAGGTTATGCGGATTGTTTACAAAAATCGGGCATCAAACCATTAAGTGACAGGCGTGTGGATGCATGCGAGAAACTGTTTAATGAAATCACCACAACACCAGTAGCTAATATGCATAATCATGTACCATCTAGATACTTTCCAAATTACGACCTTTGACACTCAAGGTCTTTTGTTGTTCCTCAGACCAAAACGAACAGATTTAGAAACAGTTTTTTCCCTTCATCTGCAAGGCATA